TATATATATATATATATATATATATAATAACCTAACGAAAATAGGATACCACAATAAGATGCATAACAGGAGTTGGGTGTTACAATTATCTCCCACTTGAATTAGATTTCGTCATTGAAATCCATCTCGACTAAATTATAGAAGACAACATTTACACAAATCCTTTATTAAATCAACAAAGGGTTCTCAGGACCTCTCGATATCTAGACAACTCAATCGTATGAAAGCCAACTATATGTACTTACACAACTGCAAAAGCTATCCTTCTTACTACCCACACCCGATGAATCTTCAAGTGAAACCACTCATAACCAGGAATTGCAATGCCGTAATCACAACCAAGCCCAACGACAAACTTCACAAGACCAGAAGGCCCTACCCCTAAACCCTAAAATATGTGCTCTAGGATTGATGATTACCTTCTCATATAAATATCCGCAAGTCCTTCGACTAGGAACACTGCCACCCACGAAGAAGCAAGTGCCAAAAAAATACCAATCGTAACCACTTGGAAAATCTCTAATATGGAAAAGTATGACCAGAAAGGACTTCATACAAGTCATCAAATCCTATAGTTTCCCATGAGCGTACTGAGTGGCAAAATATAACCTTATGTTGAATCTAAATTCTCATTCTGGCCTAGGTGTGTAACCACTTGGTCATATTAGGGGTACTATAGAGAATCTTATGGTCCAAAATTTCCAGAACTAGTACTTCATCACTAATAGCTAAACTGATATGAAACAGTTCTCATAGATAAACATGGATCGATTAAAGAAGAAACTCAACCGAGAACTACTTATACACAACCATGATTTCTAACTAGTAGACATTCTACCAAACATATGACCTAACTACTTTTGGTCGTTGCCACTAATAGCCTTTCAACAATGTTCTAAGCACTTATACCACAACGAGGAAAAACAAGGAACAAATCCTTGTAGCTTAGCAACTCGAATGTCGGTTTCCACCCGCACAAGCCACACAAAAACAGGCTCATGACATGTCGTGATATGTTTAGTGCTCATTTTACGATCACTAAATGATTTAAAAAGCTTGTTTTTATCTCCAAATTTATATTCTTTATATGATTTTTGAGCTTAAAAATACAAATTAACGTTAAACTTTGTGATGGATTTCAAATCTCCTGGTTGATGTCTCTTGTTCTCATTCAGTTGTGATTGACCTATTTTGGTGGGTCCCTCATCGCGTATATGATAGATTAATGGGATTTGGGCTTCCTTTTATGATGTCCAAATTTCTTAAGGGATTGACGACTCATTAACTTGTTTTTACAAGTTCTCCTAAGTTTCTTAGGTCCCCACCGCCTATTCGACAGGTATTAGCGAGCGTTGATTTTCATCTCACGAAATCCAGTTATAGCTTTTTACAAGCTACTTGATATGAATTCATGGCTTACATCATCATTTGTTATCACAAGTGCAATCCGAGTTCCTCGGGTTCCCCTCCACTTATTCAATGGGTTGGTTTTCGTTTTATGAAAATCAAAGTATAACACATTGTGCTTTACAATTGAGTTGAGAGTTTTTATTTCACTTGTTATGCAAGTGCGACCTGTGCTTCACAGATTCCCCTCCGCCTGTTCCACAAGTTATGGTGGGAGTTGGTCTTCTTTTCATGAAGTCCAAATTATGTTTATAATGAATTGTCGGATTTTATTTCACTTGTTAAATCAAGTGCAAACTGCTTTGGTCTTCTTTTTATAAAGTCCAAAATTTTTAAGAAATTGACGGTGCGATGACCTTCATTTTATGAAGTCCAAATGGTTTTTACAAAGAATTGACGGATATGTTTAGTGTACGTGCTCAAAATTCTATCAAGAATGTTTTTCATGTTGGAAATTTTCGAGCTTGGTTAAAGATGCATTCAAGAAAGTTAAAATATTTTGAAGCAAATTCAACAAAATTCAATGAGTGTTTATTTTAAATTGAAGCTAGCCTTAGCAAGTTTTGTAAGCCCAACAAGTAGCCAAGTTTTGGTCCATTTGTAAGCAATTAAGTCCAATTAATTTTCTCATATGATCATTGCCGAGAAAAACATACAATGTGTTAAGAAAAGAGACAAAGCTTGAAAAAGATTGTTCCAAAGGTTAAAATCATGCTTTACTCAAATCTACTGAAAAATCAAAAGGAAAGAGATGATAGTTTCTATTTTGATGATACATTTATATCATAAAATCAAGAAGTCATATATTTACTTGAACTTAAACTATGGAATACATCAGCCAAGAATCTCGTTTACAAAGGGACACACATCATCTTCACCCATCAAAAACCTCCACCATTCCCTCCTTCACCATCCTACACCGTAACCACCATCAACCTCCCAAATCCACACACCCATCGACACCTTCTACCACCATAAACCTCCTTATTTCTCCATTCACCATCACCAAACACCAATCCCAGCTCTACAACCTCCATTCCAGCCACCCCTTCACCACCTACCTTACTAGCCTTCATCCACCATATCCGGACTCTACTACCATGAGTACCATCGTCACAAAACCACCAATTTATCATCTCAGTCCCGCCAAATCATCAGAGGAAACGCACCACTGTCCACTGTTCTCGTGTTATTGCTGACCTGAGGTCTCTATTCAGAACAAAGAAGAAGAAAGGGGAGGGAGACCTGTGATCGATTCAGAACAAGACACCAGGTGGGTGTCGATCGATTGTGAAAAAAAAAAAGTGGAGACTGTCGTTCGATTTTGAGAAGAAGAGAGGCTGCGATTCTTAGTGTGGTTTGTCGATCGAAGTAAGAAGAAGGAAGAACGAGACGCAGAGAATAGGTGGTGATCGATTTGATAGAATTGGGATACCGGCTGGTGGATCGTGGATATGAACGTATACAAGGACGAGCTTTGTGTGCGCTAATATTTTCTTGTATGGGCTGCATCTTTATTTGGGCGGTCATTCTATTTTGTTGGGCTACTGAGCATACACACGAAGAACAAAAGTGGGAGTTTTTCTTTTGCTTTTAAGTATTAAGTGTTGAATACTGTTGATTAAACTTTAAATTACAAAATGCCCTTTAAATTTTATGTGGTTAATGTTTTAAATTTGATCTTAATGGAGTAAACATTTGGGAAAATTACACTGTAGCACATCAAACCTTTTTCATTTGTCCAATTTGGTCACTAAAGTTTTTTTTTTGGTCAATTAAGTCACTAAAGTCATGTTTTACCTATCAATTAAGTCATTTTCCCCGATTTTAAACGGTTTCTCGGTTCCCTTCTTACGTGGCTAAGTGATGTGTGAAAAACCCCTTACCTGGACTTCCAACGTGGCACTTGACGTGTTATCTTCCCAATTATGCTATTAATTAAAACTCCGATTTGGACCTCATTCATTTCTTTCTTACACCTTGATGAAAAGTCGAAGCAAGCACCCTCCTTTACATAATCAGCTTGTTCGATTCTTCAACACAATGTCTGCGAGCTCGTCCAATGCAAGAAATCGCCTCCAAGTTGCTCGTGTGTTTGTTAAAGACGATGTTAACAACTGTGAATGCGATGTTCCAGCTAAGGAACAAACATGTTGGAAGCTCACTAACCCCGACAGACGTTTTTGAAACCGCAACAACAGCTTGGTAAGCTTCGATCTAGCTTGATTTGTTAATGCAAGATATTTTAGGGGGTCAATATAAAAAACCCATTACATTACGAAAAAAACCCTAAAAATAATTTTGATTATCTTGGGTTGTTGTCATGATTTCGTTTCTAAAAATACATGTACAATCGCGATTGTTTAAATGGTGTTGTAGTGTTAATCATTTTTTATTTCGTGGTTTCTTAAATTGTATTTGGTGATTAGTGATTATGTTTTGATGTTTTATTCATGTGGGTTTGATACAGACAAGACTGATGAAATGTGATTACTTTGAATGGAAAGATGTTGCACTGGAAGATGGTTACTACAAAAACCTCATCTATTCCATGAAGCAGCAGTTGGATTCCAAAGAGGATCTTGGTGTCATAAAAAACTTGAGGACTAAGAATGCTGAGTTGGAGTTTCTCCCGAGTAAGGAGAAGAGTCTAGTGGTAAGCATGGAGAAGGGGATGTATGATTCCAAGAAGAGCATACTATGTACAAGCTGTTGGTAGTTGTTCTAGTTGTTGGGTATGTTTGTTTTGTTTTTAAGTTAGCTAATTAGTGTTGGGATGTGAAGCTTTTGGTGTAGCTGTTAGTGTAAGGTGTATGTATTGGGATGTGAAGGTTTTTTGTATCTTTTGTAAAGTCAGCCTAAAGTGGTAATGTGTTGTATTTTGTATCTTTTGTAAAATCCCAATGACAATTGGTAATTAGCCTTAATGTAAAGCCCCAACGACATATAAGTGGAATGGAAAGTTTATGTTGATAATGGAATGGAATTGTTTATGTTAATGGAATTGTTTATGTTATACAAAGGAAACATACATGTATGGTTTCATTTCCCTATATTAATATAATTATATTGGTTGCAGTGGTCCATGTGAAAGTACTAATTGTATGGGGACCATTTGCATACATAGTGGTTGTTTTATAATTGGGGAAATGGGACCTTTCAACCCATTAAAGTAATATATCCCGTACCATATACCACATTGACATTCATGCACATAATTCCAAACTATTCCATGCATAATATATAAAAATCCATCACCTTTTCTTATAGCTAAACACATTAAAAGACAACATTCTTTAATTAACTTAAAATGATAACATACTATCATAGTTGCCAAAAGTTACCATATTACCCAAACACAAACACAGTTAAAATTACCATCATCCTAATAGACTTACATTAAATCCATATTACACAAACACAAAGTCAAATACACAAACCATAACACCCTACCCTAATCAATTATAAGAGCTTTTCCCTTGGAATTTCCTGGATCATCAACACCACCAACTGTCTTTCTTAATTTGATCTTCAATATTCTCTCAGACTTTCTTCTCCTTATCCTCTTCAAAATATCTGAAATTGGTCTAACCTGCTGCACTTGCACATTAGGAATCTCAACAGCTTCCTCAACCACAACATTAACTATACCCTGACCATCTTCAACCACACCATTAGCTTAACCTTGACCATCTTCAACCACACCATTAGCTTGACCCTAACCATCTTCAACCACACCATTAGCTTGCCCCTAACCATCTTCAACCACACCATTAGCTTCACCCTGACCACCTTCAATATTTTCAACCTCAACATCCTCACCAACAAAATCTCCAGCTTCATAACTTCTAGGAGGAGTCACTTGCATATATTGACCACAACCCCCTGCACTACTAGATTCAGAATCATTATGAGTAGCATGGAAATCATTTTGAGTAGTATCCACATGAATTAAAGTCAATTCAACCTCATCATGTTGTTGAGGTTCACTTGTACTAGCCTACATTATAGGAAATAATTATGTAAATGGATAAGCACATGTAAATAACTTTAAATAGAAAATGGTTTTACATGGCCTGCTTTTTTTCCTTGGAAAAAGTTTTTGTTTCTTGTTTTTCCTGTCATTTACATCTTGGGGTCTTCTTTGTGGACAAGTAGCCTTGTTGTGACTTATCTCCTTGCATATACTACATATGATATTTTTTCCTGCCTTAGAAACCTTGTGTTTTCCTTTATTCTATGTAGTGGATTTCTTCCTACTAGTAGCTGGCCTACCAGGCATCCTTCGACTAATAGGACGCAATGGTGGATCATAGTTGGTCGGTGGCTACACGTCACTCCCATTAATATGGGAAATTTTGTAACTATATGCCTTCCTAAAGGTTGTGGTGTTATACATGTTGTCCACATAGGCTTCTACATCCCTATTAAGATAGGATATGCTTGCTAGAGAATGAGCACATCCATATCCATTCTATTTCCACAACCTACAAGAACATATTTTCCTTTCGAAGTCTACTTGATATGCATCTATTGCTCCCCTAACCTCAAACTGGTTTAATCCACTAGGCAGCAGCGACGAGTCTAAAATAGAAAACCATATAGTTCACTAATTTTTCTATATAAAATTTTCTATACAAATTCAAAGATTTTTATAGTTAAGGTAGGTCCTAAATTTTTTGTAAAGTAAGTCCCTAAAAAATTTCAATAGAAATTTTAGACAAACTAAGAAAATTAAGTGGGTCCTAGGACCCCCCATCCTTATATCTACCCTCGCCACTGCTAGGCAGTACTTGATAATGACTCTGGAACTTCTTAAGGAAATTCACCTTATCCCTTATCTCTGGACAAATATGATTTCCCCATTGTTGTCCCTTCAACCTCATGTTGTACAATCTGTATGGTATATGGCCCCACTAAATCTCTTCTGTAAATTTTGGAAAATATGTCTAGCACACTTCCTGTGCTCTACATATGGGAATTACTCCGTAAAAGCCTCTATCAAACCCTGTAAAAAGAAGAAGATTTAAATCAAATAGTATAAATTAAGTATACTTGAATTACAATGTAATAAACTAACCTTATGTAGGTCTGACATTAAACTGAATCCATTTCCTAAATTCAAGTGTAGATCCTCAATGAGAAGTTCCAAAAACCACTTCCAAATTTTCTTGTTCTCCACACATACCACAACCCATGCAATAGGATATATCTTGTCATTTGCATCCCTCCCAAATGCACAAAGCAATTCCCCCTTACAAACACCTTTCAAAAAACAACCATCAAGACCTATTGTCCTTCTTAATCCTTCCATCCAACCTTGTTTGACTCCTTGAAAACAAACATAGAACTTGCTGAAATACTTCTTTCCATCTGGGCCAGTCTCCACATCTAATTTTACAGTTGACCTGGGATTAATCCTCATAATCTCATGACCATATGACCATAGCCTACCATAATGTTCAACAAGACTACCTTCAATAAGTTTTAGTGCATACTTCTTTGCTATCCTGCATTGGCCCATACTAACTTGGATACCAAATTTTGTCATTACCTTTACCCTATGCTTCCTTACACTCAATTTCTGACTCTACACAATTTCTTTGGTATAATGACTCCCAATCCATGCATATGTCACTAGTGACCCTAACTTGAAGTTCCTAGCACAATTATGATCATCTTTTAGTGACTTGATTTGGAAATTTCTGTTCATCACTCATCCAAGAAGCCCATAGTCTAAATGTGCAAGCACCCTTACTACACCTAACCAAAAGTCTTTTCCTATCATTTTTTTCAAAACAAAGTTGATATCCATTAGCCACTGCATAGGTACACAACATTGATTTAACTTGGACTGGATCCTTAAATCTCATTCCAAGAATTGGTTTTTGATTTTTCCAGTGTACCAACTCATTAAAAATTGCATGCATGGGTGGTTCATCATCATCTACAATGTTGTTATCCTCACCCTCATCAACACATAACTTACTCAGGAAAGGATCATTTGATGTCCTATTCATAATAAATGCATCCTCATTAAATTCTACATTCCCATTCCTATGTTCATCTATATTATCCTCATTTTCACCATCAATAGAAGACTCATGATCATCATCAAACCACCCATCTACTCCCACTCCAACATGATCGATATAAACAGAAATTACACCATCTGTTCCATAAGCATCAAATATAAAAGCAGCGAATTCCACATCATCTGAAATGGGATTAAGCCCATCCATCAGGGAAAGGCATAATTCACAGTAGTACATCTTTTAAACCTCCTCATGCATGAAACATTTGAAGAAAGTGACACACTCAGAAAATGTCATTGAAGAAAAATCAACATCATTAAACATGGTTTTGACACCACCAGTGTAAGAGAAAGGATTTCGAGTAAATACCCCCTGATAGTTGAGTTCCACCATCGCAAACAATCGATTAAGGTCTGGTTGTGCCATTCCACCGACTGCTTTGATTCTTCAGCTCAACTACAAATATCCTTGAAAAACCCTAGCGCAGTTTCGTGATTTGGTGATAAATGAAGAACACAGGTCGATGGGTGAAACAAGTGAGTTTAAGTATCGACTCTTATATCATTAACTGACGTGGCAAATCCTACGTGTAATATGCTTACTACATAAACTAACTATTAAATGAAAGTTATTTACAACTAGACAAAGTCAACCGGGAAACCGTTTAAAATCGGGGAAAATGACTTAATTGACAGGTAAAACATGACTTTAGTGACTTAATTGACCAAAAAAAAACCTTTAGTGACCAAATTGGCCAAATGGAAAAAGTTTGATGTGCTCCAGTGTCATTTTCCCTAAACTTTTATTGGGGTTTAGTTGACAAGGGACATGATATTTGATGCAGTTAATTAAATTGATACTATATGGTAATTATTTGATGTTTAAATGTGTGTATAATGTTAAAATTACTAAATGAAATTAGGTTAATTGACAATGTTTATTATCCGACCAAAAATAGATGTTCAATTTTGATTTAGATTTCATTTTATAATTAGTTGCATTTCTGAATGCTAGAGGAGCGTTGGTTGGGAAATCATTTACATATGAGTGTGATTTCGTGATCCCACTTAAAATCAACACAGACGTGTGTTGGTGCATTTTTAATAAAACTACTAAACTTAATGCTTTTTAATTTCATGAACTGCATAGAGATATGAGTGAGTGATTTTAAATAGGATCATGAGACCAAGTGGTAATTGATGATTTTAGATGGTATTAGCAAATTTATTACTACTACATTTGTGTCAATTGTTTGATTTCATTGGATAAATCATTGAACTAGTAAATGTCAACTAAACCCTGCTTTTCTCTTGTTTGTAAAATCATAAATTAAGTGTATGTCCCTTTTAGTCAATTTGGTTTTAAATATTGTGTTACTGATTTCTGTTTAGTTTGATTTAGAAATATTAGTTTCTTGGTAATTTTATTTTATCTTGGTTTTAAAAAGTTAGTTTTCATTAGTTTAATTAACAATTACTTGATTTATCTTTCATTAGGATAGATAATCCATATGGGTACGATATCTGGTCTTACGACTAAATTGCTTGCACGACCTCGTATAGTTGTGAGTATGCGTTTTCATCAACATGACACCATCCATCCATCAGAATTATACGGTCACGGTATAACATCGTCCATGCTATCATCCCTCCATGACCCTAAATACTCACGACTAACACCTCGGTGGGCCTATATCCACTCGATCATCATCCCACCAACCTGCTTGAACCCAATCAACATCCCTCACGACACTTGTCAACTAACCAGACATATTACCAGTTGACGATACCAAAGACCACCAATGGTCATACATACATATGTTAGCCTTCACCCATACCTCCAAATATACTTGATATGGTCTGATCATAGTCTTATGTCAAACAAAAATGCATAGTAACGAAACAGAAGACCACTCTTACCAGAACATAACTCGAACCTCGAAAATTTATATAAACTTCATTGGGTGTTTGGACAGTGTCTCGAATCCCAATTTTTTTATCATACAGAATACACAGGCAGGTTCTCAACACAATCTTCGACCCTAGCCAAACCAAGTTTCCATATATACATGTCGATACATCATCCTATAGTTGAACTTTTATTACCTCATGTCAAAACCCTCGACCACTATAGAAGTCTACGAATATCATTGAAATCAACCGAACAATATCAGTCCATAATTCTCACACATACTAGTGGAGCACTAGCAAACTCCAACGACATCACCGCATCCCCTTATACCCAAAATAAAGACTGATCTAAAACAATTAATTACCCCCACACTTGATATGATGCCCGGTAGAATATGTAACGAAGAAAGCACACATACCATTTTTTGAAACTAATCTGCAATTGTCAATCCATGACAATAGATAACCGATCCTTGTCCTAATCTAAAGCAAACTCTCAAATTTTCAATATGCATCTAGGATGACCCAATTGCTTTCTTACGAACATAAATGGTGCTCCTATGAGGAACCACTTGCCAAAGTGAGTTCCCTACCTAAGAACTTCTACGTTGCGAGAACAACTCCTGCACCTCTCACGACAAGGACTCATTCAGCTACCCGAGTTGCACCCGTGATCTGATCAGTTCCTACATTCCTTCTAAAACTTGGATGGAAACCCAACAAACTCTTGAGAAATACATTGTCAAAACTTCATAACCACGGTAACTCCGACAATTACTGCTTTTCCTCCTTTACTGTATCCATAAGCCTGAACTTAATAACTCTGCATACTCGAACCATAGACTCTTCTGACCCACGACATTGAGACTAAAAGTCAAATTTCCCTTAGAATTCCTAATCTAAATACTTAGTTCTCCCCCACTTAGGGTTTGAACTACCACTGACTGTATTCTACAACATCAAAGCCCTGAATTGGCTTATCGAACACTTCAAATCATTGATTTAAAGATAAAACTTAATATAGGATCACATAGTACTTTGAATAATTAACTACACCCTAGGATCCTATTAGACGAGAACAAGTAGTGGGGATAAGACAAAGATTATAAGCCTATGTAACTCAATTTTGCATGGTCTTTTGACAACTAAAAAAACTTTGGAATGTTTTCGATGATTTAATGCTCCCAAAGCAACATGGAAACCTTGTCAATCAACCAACAACTTATCGTACAACTTTCTTATGAGTTGATAGCTAAGATATGATCAGATTCAGCAAAAAATACAACTCTACCCGAGCATCAAAAGAAATACAATTGGTCATCAACATAACATAAACACACCAAAAACAAAGATGGTACTAGATTCCATACCATCTCAATGAATTATCCGACACAAACAACCATGACGTGACCCTACTGACTACGAAGATAAACATACTTCCTTCTTCCCCTTACTTACAGTCCTGACTGTAACTATCCTCCTAACCACACATGGAGAACCTTGAGATGAAAGCACAACAAACCCATATCGTGCGTCTTCCCATACTTGATGCATAATCACGGCTTCACTGATCTATTGATGAGAATAAAAAATATTCAATCTCTTAGTTTCTGGTGGTGTCGAACATTCGCCAGCTCCTTTTTCCTCTGTCGGACCTCCAATCCAGACCCTGAAATCATATATTCAATTTGCAGTGGGGACACACACTCTTAACGAAACTAGTTCGAAGAATCGAATTCCAACCTGATATCCACCTCGTCCACCAAACCGACAAAACAATATAATCTCTAAGATCCTTTTACTGTAAGATGGAAACGATTCCTAACTAATCCGATATTTTCTCCTTCGAGCATAGAAGGTTGGAAATAAATATAACCATGTCGTAGCAAATGACAACACAAACCATCGACTGACAGTCCTGATAATGTTTGTAATCCTCATGTCGGTCCTTACGATTGCTTCCTCATGAAGTCCCGTGACTCGAACTGGTAGTACCTCGGATAAAGTCCTCAAAACCCTAGAGTTAACAAACTCACATAATCCTACACCACTCAAACCCAAACCACCATGGCCACTTATGCCCGAACAATTACCAAAATCATCCTTATCCTAACCAACCATAAATATAAGATCGATAGAGGCAACGAAAGCTACAAATAAGCCATAATGCATATCACGTTATCTACCATCTACTAGCTCTTTAGTAACCTCCTCGACTCTTCCTAATCCTCGTATGGATCCTGTTCTTGCATACTACCTTCTATGCCTATCCGTACTTGTCCCAAGAATTGTCTCAAAGTTTATAAGTCACTATGTAACGCCCGGTTTCTGGTACGCATTTATTTACAAATTATTCATTTTTATAAAGATACTCGACGAGTTGGAAGCCCCAGACTCCTCGAGTAGAATTGACTTTGGACGCGGGATTTCAGCCACCTACTCGACGAGTCAAGAGCCCTCGGCTCGGTGAGTAGGTTTGTCAGAATGAAACCCTAATTTCGGGGTTTTGCACCCTATTTAAGCATCTTAATCCCCACCTTTTGGCCTCATTTCCAGCCTCTAAGTCCTAAACCCTTATCCACGAAACCCTATAGTATCTTGTGAGTTGTGAGCCATTATTGAGTGTTTCGGTGTATTCTTGAAGCTAGAAGAAGGAGAAGGAGCTAGAAGGTTCAAGGAGAAGATAGTAGATCCAGGGATTTCCTTCCATCCTCATCACTTTTTGGTAATCAAGTCTCTAACTTGATCATTCATCTCTTAGATCTATTTACTTCCTTTTTATGAGGGTTTTGGTGCAAGAACCTTGGTATTTGGGATTTGGATGTCCCAAGTGACTTATAATTCAAATCTGGGATCTAGGAGGGGTTGCATGGCATAAAGGTGCAAACTTTATGACCATGGAAACCCCATGCAAGCTTATAAGAGTTAATATAGCCTTTTTAGCCATAAGAGGCCATGCTTGGAAGGAAAGCTAGGAACTTTATGTGTCCAACTGATGTTCAAAGCCTAGATCTAGTATAGTGTGCTTTGCTTTAGGGTATTATGACTTGTGGACCAAGATCTATGTTCTAAAGAGTTAGGGTTTGAGCTAAACCCATTAAGAAGGAGTAAGAGTGGGTAAAGTTGCAAACTTTACCCTTAAAAGTGTATTCCCAGTGTGTAGATGAAGTTTGGAGCTTGGATCTGAATGGTCGGAGCTTAATCCATTAAGATGGCTCAATCAGACAGAGGAACTCGGCGAGTCCATAGAGGGACTCAACGAGTTGAGTTGGTTTGTCTCGTTTTTAGCTAAAGGTA